CACACACACACACACACACACACCTGTATGATGAGTCTGCTGTCACTCAGTAATCTGCTGTTGGTCAGATCATTCTTCACACTGCTGGGAAACGCCAGCAGGTCGTGGCAGTGCAGGTCCTTACAGAAGGTCTGTCCTTTCAGCTGCCCGACAGATTTAACACAGGAAAAACCTGATGTGTGTAACACTTCACTGACCTCCTCCAAACTACACACACACACACACACACACAGATGATGAAATGAAGTGTCAAATGTAAGCCAAGAGCAGGAGAGGAGAGGAGAAATCAGTGTGTGTGTGAGACCACACTCACACTCTCACACTCTCACACTCTCTCTCTCTCTCACACACACACACACACACAGACTGAAATAAGGCTGGTCAGCCCAGAATGGAGGTTAAACAGGGAAGAACCAGAATAATGCCACTTCTGAGCCATAAATCACATGCACACAAACAAACACATTCTCATCTTTCTACCTCACGAACAATAAACAATTTCAGTGGAGAATCATACAGCAATACAAGGAACAGAGATGAAAACAGCAGCGTGTGTTTCCGAGCGTCCCACTAATCACACTGCAAAAACTGGTGTTCTTCCTCAGTATTTCCAGATGGGCCTTGTTTTCCAGTACAAACATCTGAACACTCTTCAATCAACATACATTTACTTAAGATATTAAGTCTTGTTTTCTACAATAACACAGAATATAATATTTAATATATGTATATTATATTAATTATTATTATGCATATTATATATATATATATATATATTAATTATAAAATTATATTACAAAATGTTAAATTATATAATATAAAACATGTAATATATATTTGCATCTACCTTATCATATACAGTACAATAAATTTACATATATTATGTATTATTATATACAATATATTAATGCTGGGCAATGATTAAAATTTTAATCGCAATTAACTGCATGATTTTTCTGCGATTAATCGCATTATGCGCAACTTTTTTTTTACGCGTTATTTTTCAGCGTAATTAATCTAATTAACGCATTAAATAATGAATTCAAAAGTAGTGTATTGCGCACTTTTATTTTAAATGTACTGCAATATGAACAAAAGTGCAATAACATTTAGTTTGCAAACAAATAAGGTGATTTTTAACAGCAGTATTCCCTTTACATAGTAGCACTTAAAACATTTCTTGTAAATCTCAACTTAAACATTAATGTAATCAAATTAAATATGAAACCAAAGCTATTGCCACTGCCAGGGCATAAACGTTTATCGAGTCAACAAACGAGTTTGCACAAATGCTACAAGAACAACTAGTATAACATAGAGATGATTAACACGTGCAAGCATAGGCTCTATTTATAAACGTGCTTGCAGCGTTGAGCAATGTAGACAGTCACATATCTGCTGATTTCAGGAACACAAGGGCCGATCAAAGGTGTTTAAGTTAGAATCCACTCACGGCTCAAAGTTCTTGCGCAGTGCTGAAAACTGCATGCTCATGAATCCTCTCATTAAAACACACTAAGTGCAGACATTATAGAAGATGCATTGTGCATATACTCATTGTGTTATAACAGAGCTTTATGAGATGTCAGCTTTTAATGTTAATAAAGGGAGCCTTGCTTGTATTCTGCCATGCCACACCATGCACGCAGCAGCCCATGCTTGCTTTAACATATTAGAATGATTTCTGAAGGATCATGTGACACTTTATTGTAATAATGTAATAATTTAGTAATAATGGCTGATGGAAATTCAGCTTTACATCACAGAAATAAATTATATTTTAAAGGATATTAAAATAGAAATTATTATTTTATATTGTAATAACATTTTTGATCAAATAAATGCAGCCTTGATGAGCAGAAGAGACTTCTTTTAAAACATTACAAGTCTTACTGATCCCAAACTTTTGAACGGTAGTATATATATAATTTTATAAACTTTTTAGAAAACAAGACTTAAGTCAAATGAATGCATCTTGATTTAAGCATTTTTAGACATATGTACTAGAAAACAAGACAAAAATACTGAGGAAGAACATAATATTTTTTTTTCACCAATCATAGTTATAATTAACTAAAACTAAAACAAGAAAAAAAATATTTGTTGCATGAAATAAAATAAACATGAACTGAAATATAATGCATATTTAAAAAACATAAACGTGTCTTATTTCAGCTCATCTCTAATTTTCGTTCAGCTTAACTTAAAGTAAAATTAAAACAAATAAAAACTATATAGACCAAAAAAAGGACAAAAATACATCAAAATGACTAAAACAAGTGAAAACATGAAATATAAAAAAGAAAGTGATTCAAAATATTAACAAAAAGTATAATAGTAAAGTATCACTGGTCTTAAGGGCATATGAAATGAGGCAGAAGTGTTTCGAGTTGATGACCTGCTGCGGAGCGTGTTGATCCAGCCGTACAGCGGCAGCAGCGTCGCTCTCTCCTCTCGGTGTCGGATCTGCTCCGGCACCATGTTCTCCAGCGTCAGCAGCTCGTGTTTGATTCGACATCGAGCCAAAGACGCCACCAGCTTCGTCCTGAACCTGTCAAACACCGACAGCATGTGTAAGAGTTCACATCAACGACAGACGCGTCAAACTGTGTTACGCCACACAGACTCATAATCTCATTACACTTCATCTTTAATTCAGTGAGCGGCTTACAGTTATCATCTCATACATAAAAACGCTTATTTTGCATTCACTTTTGTGATGGATTGATGTAACTTCTAGATCAGCCGTTCTCAAGATTTTAACTCGAAGGCCCATGATTTTCAAAGACTATTTACAGTTTTTTCAACTGCTTGCACACACAATCTTTACTCGTCACACAGTTTCTGAAAGCTGGCACTCAAACAGCAGAAGCACACACCAAATCTGCAGAACTATACACTAATTCTCAGCCTTTGATTACTATTATGGCAAAGGTGTTTGCTTTTGAGATGTGTTTGTGATATTTTGAACGCAGTGCTTCATTTTGCAAGAGATGTGAGGCATTTTGTGAGAAATTCTTTCTCATTGTGTATAAAGTTTTGAAAAAAAGAGGCAAAGTTTTGAAAATGTGTGAAAGCAGTTGAAAAAACTGTAGCGCTGTAATTATTACAAAGCTGTCTGTTTATAAAACTTTTTTAATCAACAAAAACTGGTAGAATTGATTAATTAAATTAAGCATGATTTATTTTTCAATATTGTTTTCTTCAGTATTCTCATGAACTATAAAAAGATCAAATCTTTTTTTAAAGATTATTTATTAAAATTATCTTCATAAAAGATAAAAAACAAATCTAAACAAATATTTTTGTCTTGTTTTTCAATAACATATCAAAATATTTTTAAATGTAAAATGACTTAAAATTTAAAGTCTTGTTTTTGGAAAAATGTATTAAAATCAAGTTACCTTATGCTTAAAACAAAAATAAATATCTGCCAGTGGGGTCAGAAAAATAAAACTAGTTTTTCCTTTAAATTAAGTTTATTTTTCTGACCTCATTGGTAGATTTTTATTTTTTCTTTATTTTATGCATAAAGTCACTTAAGTCAAAAATGCTGAGGAAGAAAATTAAAAACAACAGTTATTTGGGGGGGGGGGGGGGGGGGGTTGTATTATTTTAGTATTTTTACAGTATTATGTATTATATTTTATTATTTATAATATGATTCATTCTTATTTTATATATATATATATATAGATATATAGATATAGATAGATAGAAATTATTGTTCTAGATCATTCATCTCACTGGAAGTCCATACATTCACAAAATGTGCATACAATGCACAGTATCCAGTCTATATAGTGCAGAACAGTATGAGTAGTCTGTAATTCTGACCCACCTGAGCAGACACGCCTCCACTTCCTGCACAGCCTTCACTTCCTCCTCCTCTTGATTGGCTGCTGGCGGACGTGGGAGGAACTTCCTGTCCATTAAGTCAGTGAGCATGACGGCCACCAGACTCATGCTGTCATCCGGCTGCAGAGAGACAGACAGAGACAGAACGGCTTTCCTTTATAATACAGAATAACCAGTCTGCTCACATAGATAGTTAAATTGATAATAAATGACTAAAGAACTTGCTACTTCTGAATGTACCTTAAAGGGTTAGTTCACCCAAAAATGAAAATTAGCCCATACATTACCCACCCTCAAGTCATCCTAGGTGTATATGACTTTCTTCTTTCAGATGAACCAGTCGGAGTTATATTAAAAATGGTCTTTGATCTTTCAAGCTGTTTAATGGCACTCAGCGGGTGTTGCATGCATCAGTCCAAAAGACGTTAAATAAAAAGCACCCATCCATAATAAAAAGTGTCTCACACGGCTCTGGGGGGGTGAACAAAGGCCTCCTGTAGCGAATCGATGCGTTTTTGTAAGAAAAATATGCATGCAGTGAGTCTCGTGAAAACCAACGTTTGTTAACAGGAGCAAAGGAAGCAAAGTTTCCTTACTTTAGCAAAGGAAAACCAGTCTCCTCTTGGGCTTATATTGAAATCCTCCGACATTCTTCTTTATAAATCCTCATTTTGTACGTCTAATTAGTGACCGTTGTTTTGATCTCTCCGCTGCGCTTCCGCGTGCATCACTTCTGAGCAGTGCATGCGCAAAGCTGAACTCATACGTCATCCGCTCAGAACTGCTTCTGTTTAAAACAGTGAGCGTAAGCTACATTCAAGTGATTATTACGTTTTGAATATGGATATTTTTCTTACAAAAACGCATCAATTTGCTACAGGAGGCCTTTGTTCACTCCCCAGAGCCGTGTGAGACACTTTTTATTATGGATATTATGGATGGGTGCTTTTCCCTGGGCTTGACTTTGGGACGGGAGCCCTTTCTGTGCTACACTCGGGGACTGGAGCCCTCTCTTGGCTAAACTCGGGGGCAGGAGCCCTCACTGGGCTAAACTCGGGGACAGGAGCCCTCTCTGGGCTAAACTCGGGGACTGGAGCCCTCCGTGGGCTAAACTTTGGAACAGGAGCCCTCCGTGGGCTAAACTCGGGAACAGGAGCCCTCTTTGGGCTGGATTCGGGGGCTGGAGCCCACAATGGAGCGAGCTCTGGGGCTGGAGCCGACACTGGAGCGAG